CAGGTGGCTTCAAAGCTGCATCCTCAACCCCTGCTCCAGGGAGATGCCACCAGAGAAGGTGGCACTGAGTCTTCTCAGCAGCGAAGCTGTTCAGCGCCAAAATACAACCGTTTCCCGTAACCATCCGTATTGGTGCTTGTTTTGCTGGGAAGCGATTTGATCTGCCCCGATGGAGAACCACAGCCCTAAGACCCTCCCAGCTGCTGGGTACGAGGACCAGCTGCTGCAGCCGATGGGCAGCTGCGGAACTGGTTGACCCCAGAGCCCAGCAAGGCACCAAACCCAGGCAAGGGTCACCACAAGCACCTCATAAAGTGGATTTGGAGACGGTGGGAGCGGTGGGGAGGGTGCGACAGCCAGCAGAGCAGCCCTGGGAAGAGGTGTCCTCTCCTCCCCGCAGCCCCACACCCCGCTTCTCCACAGTCTTCCCAAGGACATCGCTCTTAAATCCTGCAGCACTTTCCCTTTAGCTAATACTGCTGGTCTGTCTATCCGGGCCAAACCATCAGTCTGAGGAATTACCTCTACCTCCTCTCTCCAAACTGCCCGGCTCCTTCCCGCTCACCCTATAGCTCTTGGCCATCCTTCCTACTGCCCAACAGTTAAGACCACATTTAATTAATTCACTGTTTCATCCTCTGCTTTCCCCGTTCATCACCTGAACAGGGTGATAAACTTGACATCCTGCTGGTGGGACCTGCAAACTCAACGTCTCCATCTGAGTCCTACCGCGAAGACCTCGGGGCGCAGGACCCGGCCGCGCGGTGCAGGGGAGAGGAACCATCTCTGCCCTTACCTTGTCATCCGGCCTGACGGCTCGTCTGGTACGGCCCCTGAGGAGCCAGTGTGGGGTGACCCGCTCTCCATGGGGCGGTGGCCCTGGGAAAGAGAAGACCTGGTAAGCACGTGAATGGACTACGCAAGTCCCTGAGAGCGGGAGCTCCTCTGCAGCCACATCAAGAGAGAAATAGGGATAAGAGACAGAGCTGGGGGCTTTGGACAACACCCGGGGCCACCTCTGGGGTGTTTCTGGGGGATGGACACCAGCATGAAGCCAAAGCATCACCTCCTCGCCAGGCCAGCACCCTCATCGCTGGCCCAGCGTTGCTCCTGGAAGCCTCCCGGGAGCATCGCTGCCCACCCAGGTCCCAAACCTGGGGCTTAAATCCCATGACACCCACCCTAGAGAAGCAGCCGGCACGTGGGTGGCACGACCCTGGCCCCGCTCGCATCCCCGCCGTCACCAACCACCCAGGCAAACCCCACTGGAGCGAGGGCAGGGGCTCTGCGGGCAGCAGTGCACCCTCCCGCCCGCTCCATCCCTCCCGAATCCCACAACCAGCTTTGTTTTGGCTTTATGCTTTTCCACCATGGATCGTTGTCATTTACGGGATGGGGAAGCGCGGTTCAATCACCCAGGAATCGAGCCTTCGTCTTTCCAGCCCGCGCTGGGCTCGAGCAGGGAGCGGAGGAGCTAAAATAGCTGCAGCACGTTACGGGTTGCTCTGAGCCATCCCAGCTCCCCCGGGCAGAGCAGCACAAGCAATTCCTTGGCTCGATTAGAGACAGGCAGACTTTCTAAGATTTTTTTTTTTTTTCCTAAACAATGTGGCTGTATCTGATTGCAGCAGAGCAGCTACCGATGACTTAAGCCTAGACTACACCAGGAAAAAAAAAAAGTCAAATCTGAAGATGCTGCGGAGAGGGGATGAGGTCTAGCAAAAATGTCAAGGGCTGGACCACCTTGCCAAGCCAAACGTTGTCAGAGAAAGCTTGGATCTAATAATCTTCCCCAGCAAAGGGCCAAGTTATTTACGAAGGGAGTGGAATAACAGGGCTTACGGCTTTATAATTTTATATGCTTGTTTTGGTTCCCCGTGCAACGATCCGGGGGGATTTGGCTTGGGGAAGGATGAAGTTATTGAAAATTAAAAAAAAAAAAAAAAGATGGAGTTAGTGGTTGGGAAGTGCAGGTTGAGTGTTTAATGTGATCGAGCTCCCCAGCCCGGCCACGTCTGTCGCACCAGGCCCCGGACGCGCCCGGCGCTATCGCACAGTGGTATTTAATCAGCTTTCATTATATATAGCATGTAATCAGATTCCAGGAATAACTGCAGATAAGGTGGGGACACGATCCCAGTTTCCTTCCCCCCACCTCCCCCGAAAGCCTCAGCGAGGCCCTCCAACCCCCAGCCATAGACAAGCCGCATTTTCTGGCAGGGAAACTGAGGCACGGCGGCGATGCGCCGTGCGGCCGGCCCCGCGGGGCGAGCGCCTCCAGCGGGGTTTGCTACCCTCCCGTCACACAGAAAGGGGAAAAAAAGAAAACCACCCTGTTTTTTCCTCCGCTGGCTGCGGCTGAGGGAGGAGGGCAGGGAGCCGCTGCCTCTCCCGGCCTGCGGCAAAGCCCGTCTTTCTCCCACGCTGTCTGGGGAGAGGATGGGACACGAGGGGCAGCCGTTCCGCAGGAATTACTGGGCTGGGCTTCGGGCCACCCTCGGTTATTACATTAAGCTGCTCGCTGTTTGACTATAGCTTTTGCCGGTAATCAGAGAGACTCAGAGCATGAGATAGGGCCTTCAAAATCCAAGGCAAATAAACCCAAATGCAGCGCAGAGGAGGTTTCCCACCCCCTCCCTTCTCTTTTTTTCCTGGAAAACGCACTCATTCTCAGCCCATTCTGGGAATGCTGCGTTGGGAACAGAGTCGCTTTGGACTTTGGGATGTTCGCACCGTTGCGGCCGGGCAGCCCCGCGTTTGGGGGATGCCGGAGCCCGAAGATGAGCCCCAGTGCCCAGGCTCCAGCCGAAGCGGGCAGCTTTCCCGTCTGCTCCTGCTCTCCTCTTTAATCCAAACAGAGGTTTCTGGCTCCCACCACCCTCCCCGTTCCTCTACCCAGCTGCGCGGCTCAAACGGGTTTCTCTTGGAGTTGCTGGAAAACTTCTTTTCAGCAGCAGCAGAGAACCCAGCAAAGCTCGAAAGTAAAAAAAAAAAAAAACATAATAAAAATTGTGCTTTGCGTGGAGAAGCAGCGGCCCCGGCTTTGTGGTGGGGTTGGGGAAGGAATTAGGGATGGAGAAGAGAGACCAAAGGAGGCTGAACCCAACCAGGCAACCCCCCTCCTCCTCCTGTTTGAAAAGCGATAGGAAGCTCGGGGGAAAATAATGTATTTCCTCAACAACAGAAAAAGCCAAGTTTCAGCGCAAAATGTGCATCAGCAGCAGGAGCCGCTGCCAGCTTTCGGGGTGCCGGGGCCCGGAGCTGGGGTGGTTGCGGGGACCCAAGGGAGGCGCAGGATGGGGAGACGGGGGGTGTCTGGGGTGCTGGGGGGTGAGGGGCCGAGCCCATCCCCTCCCTCGGGGGGCGGCGGGGCCCCGCCCCCCCAGCCCCGGCAGGGGC